AGAAAATCCTATAGCAACAAAGAGATGAACCAAGTCAGTGCACTGAAGGAAAAAGAACACCATCATCTTCCTTGCAAAACCAGTAAAACACACAGGCTTAAAATTCAAGTATGTGGAACATTAATATTCTTCTTCTTGTATTTTCATTGTTTATTCTCCATAGAAAGCATAAAATACCCTTTCTACTGAAATTATTAGAATAGCAGCAAATTAAGATTGTGTATGGCCAGCAGCTCAGCACCATAAAGAATTATTCTTCCCCCAACATGAATAAGGGCTCTACTTAGAGGGTGTATAGGTGTAATCATTTAAGAAAATATAAATGCAAGGAATTAACTCATTTAACCATCAGTTGCTTTCAGTAAAACACTGTTTAGGTTCACAACTTCACACAAACAATTATCTTATCATGCCACACATATTTATAGATCCACTGAAGCACCCATATATCTTAAGAATGACATATAGGATTAAAGCACCCGTATATCTTCAGAATGATATATGCACCCCCACAAAAATTTGACATTGTAGTCTAGTCTACTTTCACCATTTACCTGTCACTCTAATTAATAATAACCTAAAAAGAGGCCTTACAAATCTTTGACCAAATTACTGCTATAGACAAAAATTAGAAGCCTAATTCATGAAATAATATTTGAACTTAAGTATAAAGAGCCATTGGCTGCACGCCGGCAAGTGAGTATACAAAGTAAAGTTGAGGCTGATGGCTTCTTGGAAAGATTCAAAATCAAGGTTGGTTGCAAAAAGAATCTCTCAAAGGTAGGGTTGACTTTCATAGACTTTTTACACAGCGAGCGCTTGCTAGATGACTGTCATCAGAACTCATTTCTTTCGAAGCAACTAATGGTAGGATATTCCATCAATTAAAATTGCCTTTTTACATGCCAATTTGTGTGAAGAGATTTTCATGGAGTTGTTACCTGGTGTGCCTAATCCTGAATTTCGGAAGAGGGGCAAAAAAAAAAGGAAAAGGCAGTCATGGATTGCCAGGTATGTACAGTCTAGAATTGATCACTACTAATACAATTTACCCCTTGGTTTTCCAGGTAAACTGAGCCCTTAGGTTACTGTCACAAGGTATGTCCACTCTGGAAATGATCACTACTCTAAAGAATATTGCAGCAAACTAGGTATATGACAATATGACGACTGGCTGTGACTCTGTACACATATAAAGTGGAATCTTAATGTTTAAATTAAATACAACGCATCAAGCATATAGTATACACAACATGTTCTAGGGTTATAGGTTGAATATAATGGAGATGGTAGATATTGTCACAGTAAGTTTGCTAAAGAGCTAAATCATGAAAGTGGTATACTTATATTAAATGAGTTTGCACCCTCCGTTACCGAAGTGTATAAAAAGGTGCACCTAAGGCACTGAGCAATTAGGGTAGAGCGCCTTTTTAGCTCTAGGCGAGGCACACTTGAGGCATACATATGCAAATTTCTTTAAAAGTTTTAAAATGAGTGCCTTACATCAAAGAGTCACACCAAAGCACGCCTGGGCACAGCAGGATCTTCATCACCTCCTTGCCCCTTGATCTTTCTTTATACATTTCCACTACCAACCCCTCATACATTAGATGCTAGCTCTCCACTTTCAGATCTTATACAGGGTCTCAATCTGTTGAGATAGCACTTTTAATACAGGCAGGATGGAGCTTATACTATCTCTATGAGGTGAAGGTCCACTGGGGAATCCTGAAAATAGAACTGGAGAAGTGCTATGCACAAGTGACAAGTCTTCCACAATCACAGAAAATTGAACTATGGTAAACGTATCTCTGAGAATTACATGGTTGATCATGTATTGGAAGAATTGACCTTCAAATCTTTAAACCTAATCTTTTTCATAATGAGAATCTAACATTCTGCTTTACGCAAGGATAAAGAATACCTTTTTTCTAAGAGAAAGACGTGCATATGGAGATTGACTGTCTTTCACTTGCTACAAGTTCCTAGAAGGTATGTTGCAGCTGCTCGCTTAATGCATACTAAAAAGTGAACTAGAAGATCCATTTAACAACTTCTTCTCCGCTCTCAAGCAAACTACATTGCTTGTAATAATCTAAATTGCTAACCAATTATGTTTGGATAGAAAAAAATGGACGGAAAAGAAGAGAAGAGAAAAGGAAGGATGCATTATCATTTGCTTGGATATCTAATGTAAGGAGGGAAGGAGTGAGAATTGGAAGGATCCACTTTCCTTCCCTATTTAATAAACCAAATGCCTCCATTGTTGGAAAGATTTGGAAGGAAAATGGAAGGTAACCTTCTCCTTCCCCTCACCTTCCTATCCCTTCCCTCTTTTTCCTTCGCCTCCCTTTCCCTTCACTTCTATTAATTTGTTATCACATAATGTTAGTTCAACAGTTATGTCAAAAATACAAGTAGCCACACTTAGTACAATTCCAACAATCCCTCTTCTTCCTCACTCGGTCACTCCTCTCTTCACTTTACATATGTTATCAAGTTTCATTCCTTCTCATTCCGTCATCCATGGTAATTCACCACTATAGGCGTATATGATCTCAATTTAAAACTTACCCGTCCCCCCCACTCCAACCAATCAAAGAGAGACCCAAAGGAACATCGAGAGTCAAGGCATTGACTAATAACACAATTGCAAGTTACAACAGCAATCAATCTTACCATAGAATCAACTAGTATCGGACGGTTTTTCATCAAATATATATCCCAGAGATCACACATGAATCAGAATCAAAGTAGCAAATTACATTCATACAAGCCTAAACCATAACTAACAACTTCCACATCAATACCATAATATAAGATCAGCCCACAAACCCACATTTTATAATCTATGATTCTAAACTCAATCATAAAATTTCAATAACAAATTCAAAAATTAAATCAAATCACCTAGAGAAAGGCAGCTCCAGCAGCTGGAATCAAGAGCAAGAATCGACGTAAGACGAGCCGAAGCAATTGCACTATGAAGCGGCTTCTGTGACTCCACCATTCCCAACATTGATGCCAACCTTCAACAAAGTAACAAACCAACCAATATAAATAAATAAAATTACACAAAAAATTAAAAATAAATTTTAAAAAATCCAATGAATGAAGTGAAGTAATGGGGTACCTAGAAGCGGAAGAAATGGGTCTGTTTGAAGATGAGGAAGCTAAAAGCTGCTTTGGAGTGAGAGAAAAAGAAGAGGGTTTTGATCGAACCGCCATTAATCTAGCTCCTGAAGCCATGGCTGATCGTATTCCCATTGTTGCCATTATTATTTTTACAGGTTGAATGCAGAGAACAAAAAAGGGCTTAAACCCTAAAAAAAAACTGAATTGAAGGGGGGTTTTGGATTAGCAAGAAGATGGTGTTTACTTGAGCCTAAATGTCAATTAAAATTACAGTAAGGCGTCGTTTTGGTGATATGGTCAATTTTATAAAACCCAAAATCAAATCAAATTGTAGTACAAAATCACAAAGTTTTGTCAACAGAGTCAATTGGCTTACTTAGGCTAAGCTGTATAACCATCCATTCAAATTGTAGTACTGGGTCGTTTTGGCGACATGTCAATTAGCTCACTTAGTATAACCATCAAATCAAATTATAATACTGTATTGATTTGGTGATATGTTAATTGGCTTATTTGGTAAGTTTCTTACCTCATATCCTAGATGCTTGGGGTTCGAATCCTACCAAGTAAGGGTGCTTGGAGGTAATATTGTCGCCCACCATCTTGCTAAGCTAGTGTCGTTCGGGGTTGAACAAGTATGGGTCAATCATTGTCCTACGGATATTACTCCATATGTACTCACTTTATCCCTTAATTAATAATATGCACTTGCTCGGCATTTCCTAAAAAAAAAAAAAAAAGGTAGGGATTCTCTTACCTTACCCTTTACCCGTTAATATTAGACAAAAAAAAAGTGAAACTTCTTGAAATATCAATACGTATATATTCACTTAGTATCAAGACAATTGTTATATTTACCACGTTTGTATCAATATAATTTACACTTTTTTTTAAAGCGTAAAATTAATAATTCTTTTTTACTTTTATATTTCCACCATCTAAAATTAGACGTTTTCGACTTTGTGTCCACTATATTGATTCATTGACTCTCATTCTATGTCATTTCTTAACCTAAAATGGTACATTCATCATCATTTTACAAATTGATCTAGTAGATTTTGCACTAAAATACACAAACACACCAATTCAAATAATTGTTCACCCCATCCTTTGATTAATAGTTCATATAGTGCTATCACCTACATGCTCTCCCTTTCGCAAATCCAACCGTTGAGTCACCACCACCAAATGTCGAGAACGAGAACAATGAAGGGCAAAGTGGAATTTAACAACAAGGTTAGAATGATTACTATGCAAACAAGTGCATATGGAAGGAGGAAGAGAGGGAGATACAAGGTTTGAATTCGAGATGCATAAAAGAGTGATGAAATGTTGTAATTCATAAAATAAATCTCTAGTTTTCGAGATATTTTACATATACCTAGGTGTAGCATACACTCAATGGTATTTTATACTCATTTAAATAATTGTTTTTCATATAACCATTAAATGAAAAGCAAAAACTAGCCTTTGGTTAGTTGGGTGTACGACTGTACGGTACACCCGAGTGTATATAACAAATTCTATTAATTTTCATTTTTTACACTTTACCTAGTAAATTAAAAAGTCAAAAACCTTTTTTTCTTTTCTTATAATATATTGTGTAATAACTACTCGAAATAATCTACTCCGTATTTCATTTTTTCAATATCCTAATAGACATAATCACACAAAATAATTCTAGTTTTATTTAGCAACAAATAGGAGGTCATTGGAACCCAACCACAAAAAATGATCCTCGAATTTGGATTAGGCTAAAGGGTGAATCGGGAGAAATTGTAAATATTTGGAATTCTTAGTAAAACGCTGCGTTTATAGAACTAGTGCACCAAAACGCATCATTTGACGTTCATTTGCATCCTCGGTCCCAATCTCCCAGAGAGTCGGTTGCTGTATTGTCCCTCTTTCCGTCACTCACTCTACCACCTTCAAAACCACCCACGTCCCCCAAAAGAGAGAAACATCGAGTCGTCGATCGATCGTAAACTTTCTCTCACCATTTCCATCAATGGCGGCGATCTTAGCTCGCAAGTCTCTTCTCGCTCTTCGTCCTCGTCAGCTCGTAAGATTTCTCTTCGTTTTTTGAAACCCTAGATTGTTCAACTGAATGATTCTCTTGAAACTGCTGAATTTATTCATATTCTTATTTTATAATCTTCTGCATTGCTTTGTTTCACATTAATTTATCTTCGAGAATTTGTAACTCAGCTCATTATTTTTTGGAATGCTTGAATTTTGTGATAATTTATTTAATTTTTTGTTGTGATGTTGAATCTAGTTTGATTTATACATATAAATCAATTTAGGGCATAGAGTTTTGGAAAGAGTACAAATTTAAATCAAGAAATATGATTTTAGAGTCATGAATTCAATGTCTTTGACCTTATATAGTTGATTGCGTGTGGAAGTTGTTGATGCTTAAGTTAGAGAATTAAATTTTCTGGAATTTTACTTGTTAATTGTCAATTCATTTGAAGATTGGAGTAAAAAGGCTCCGTATGATGCTGTTGAAGCTGGGATTGGTATAATTTTGAAATGGAGTATTATCTGCAGCTTTGTTTTGGAATATTGGTTCGGAGGTCGTTACCCTGGATCATCGGTTGCCAAATGATTGGCATGAAATGATCAGTTATTTTTCGAGTTTCTGTAACCTTTGTGTTAACTGGGTTATTCTTACATCTCTGTTCATTTTGTTGCCACACGTATTGAATTCGTTGGTTTTGAGTCCTGTTTATTTTCTTTGATTTTCAACCATGTGGACATTATGAATATTGATGGATTTTCCAACTAGATGTTTGAGGTTTGAATTGTTTCATCAATTGCCTTCATTTCTAGGATGATGTGATCAGTTTGTGCCTAGCAATCATGTATTATGTTGCGCAATACAATGCCATATGAATTTTCTGAGGTATGGAAGGATAGTAGATGTGATTGTGAACAAAGGATTACATTCACTCACCTCTTTGCCCTATAAGTAGCATATTTCCTAAACATCTTTTTTTGATCTTGGGATAAAAAAAAATAAATCTGAAAATCATCCATATTAGCTCATTCTAGCCCATAAGAAAAATATACAATTGTAGATGTCGCTTGTGCCTGTTTCACTCCTCCACTTTAGTCACATATACTTTTGTTTTCTTTTGATGTATCCAATACTGTAGACTCGTGTTTTTAGAAAAAGCTGTATAAACTGAGAGATTTAGTAAATTGGTGGTTGAGTGTAAGAAAAAGGTAAATAAAGTAAGAGAGAATGAGTGAACAGGTGTAAATATTGTGGGGTAAAGGGGTAAAACAGAAATACGCATTTGCTTAAAATAAAACAAGATAAAAGTGTACATCACATTTAAAAACAACTCAAAATGGAAAGGGGGTACTAAAAAATCAGAGGGAGTGTTATATGAAGATGTGTGTTATTGTGATTGGCCTCTCCATAATTCTCTTATTAAAATTAATTGGAGGAGTTTGAGAATGATCACACGATCATAAAAGATCTCTTAGTTGATTAAGATGGGTTGAGTTTATTGGGATAGTGTGGCAGTTAGTGCCATTTGTAGAAGTAGTTGGTATTTTTTTTATTTTTTTTTATTTTTTTTTTAAAAGTAAATGTACTTTTACCTTTAATCCTTTTGTTTATGTAGGCTTTGACTGGGCAAGCATTCCAAGGCTTCAGCCAGCAGGATAGATCATTTGCCACCAAGCATTCATTTTCCACTGATAAAGGTGTGTTGAATTATGTTTTGTATAATGTTTTCCTTTTATTCATTTGATTTATGGAAACTCTTCTGAAATGAATAAAAAGTAGTTAGGGGAACTTTAATGGAAAATGACTGTAGGATAAAATTAAGGATCAATTGATGTTCTAATTGTACTTGGTATGTTATCACAAAACATGTATTTTCAGGTCCAGGGTTTTTTTGTTATCCTTCTCATTAGGATTATGTTTCCTTTGTACGAGAAGGATAAAGGTCTCTCTACATTTAATAGATTTATCATTTATGATAAAATCATGGATGGGCTCTGTAGTAGAAAAGAATGCATCACACTTATTTTGAGAAAGAAATTCCTTTACCATTGAAGTCCTGAAAGGTCAAACAATTAACCTGCTCCCTATTACTACGTACCGAATATTGAGCATTGAGGGTCAAGGTGTAAATAGACCTTTTTCTATATATATAGTCTCACGTGAAGGAAAAATTTGCACAACTATCTTATCCTTCTTCTTTTGGCACCTTCTACACAAAAAAATACTATGTTGAGATTAGGTCTGCATTTTGTAAGTTTCAGCCTGTGATGAGTGATGCGCATTATTTTAGTCTTTTTTTTTTTTTCCCTAATACCATGATTAGTTTTTTATTTTGGAATTGTATTTGTGTAATTATGACTACTTTGGGTTTGAATAATCTGTCAGAACTTTGAAGGCACTAATTACTTGCTCAATGTTTTTCATTGATTATTTTGCTAACTTATGCAATTATGCGGTTATGCCTAGCATTACTAATTTTCTGAGCAATGACTGTCTAAGTAATTGTTTTCTGAGAGAATTCTCTGCCCAAACTGAACTACTCTGAAATTGATTAGCCTGTTTGAGTAGATTTATGATTTTAGCTTCTGTTGAGACGCATTAGGCTGTACATACCAGTGTATTTGTGACTCATTTATGGTTAAAGAAAGTGTTTGATCTCTTCCTTTAAGTTTTCTTCCACAACTCTCATGCCCTTCGACCATATTAGGGTACTGAATCTGCTCCCCCCCTTGTGATGCTACATATTGGGTCGCACATATTGACCGGCTGATTGACGGCATTTGGTTTTGCCTAGGGTATATGATCAAGTACTCCATACCAGCAAATTTAGTCCTATTGCAAACTTTAAAGGCTTGGTCCCTGTGCAAGATTTGAATAATTTGCTGATGAAATGATAGGTGCATGCTTGGTCCTTGTGCAAATTTGATTTAGAGCTCTTTGCTCCTCTTTTTTCGATCTAGACCTATCTCTTTCTCTTCTTGCTTTCTCTTATGACAGATTGACCGCATTGGTTAGGGTTTGTGTAAATAGAAAAAAGTGATTAATGAATCTCCGTATTAGTTTTGGGCTTTAAAGTACATATCAGTAAGCTGCTAAATAATGTAAACTTAAGAGCTTAGCTTCATTTTAAGTTACAATTATGTTCAGACGGATTTTTAAAAAAGAAAACAGGTCCAAGGTAAATTTTTTTGCGCCGTTATGCCCTTAATTATATCAGTTTTTTCTATGAAAGGTTATAAATTTCATGTATTCTGAACAGAAAATAATAGCCTATTTCCATTCAGGATGTAGTATTGTAGTGTAACTGTTAACATGTACCTATTGTCAGTTTGTCACAAATTTCCCATATAGTACACATAGGCATACTGAGTACTTATTAGAAAACATTTAGTTAGTGTTGTTTGGGCTTGCCCTCCCCTCCATTTTTTTTTTTTGGTTTGGAAGTATTAAGTTAATTGTACTTTACTTGGACAATCATAATGTTGTCCCTTTGATTAGGTGTTTATTTAATTTTTTTTTTAAAAAGGTGTTTATTTAAAAATCTCAGATGAAGTGGATTTAAGTTATAAAGGAAAGTGAAGCTTTTTTTTTTTTACTACAACCCCATTGGGTCATTGCATATTTTGATTGCTTTACTACCGTTGGATTCTCCTTGACCCAATTACTGCAATCCAAGTGATTATGTCAATAGGAGGTGAATTATTAGTATCTCCTTGCCCTAGAAAATTGAATTAGTTTATTCAGGATTTTAGATAATAACTGTGTGAAAGGCTTAATCATAGGCAGGCATTCAAATTCTGTAAGATTTTCAGATATTTATGTATTGGGCCTTTGATAGGCTTGGATGCTCTTGATTGTAATTTTCTGGTGGAAATTAACACTAAAATATGGACAGGGTCACAGGAGGCATGACATTAAAAAAAAAAAAACTTGATTGTAATTGTTTATCTACTCCTTACAGATGATGCAGAAAGACAACAGCTTGTTAAAGAGATATCAAAGGATTGGAGTTCTGGTAACACAACAGCCTTGACTCATTGATTTATAAGAAGTTTGTCATTTGGCTTTGGCTAATGTATCAACTTTTGTGGCTAGAAGGTTTTTTTAATTTTTGCATGTGTTAAGTCTTGGCAATTTAATTTTGGTTACAGTTTTTGAGAGAAGCATAAATACTTTGTTTCTCACGGAGATGGTTCGAGGATTATCTTTGACTCTCAAGTATTTCTTCGATGACAAAGTGACTGTGAGTGTTTTCTTACTAAATATCTAATAATTTACTGCTTAATTTTGGCATTTATTATTTGTCACAGCGAATTTTAGATCGCAACATTTTTTATACATTTCCATTTTGCAGATCAATTACCCATTTGAAAAGGGCCCTTTGAGCCCCCGTTTTCGTGGAGAACATGCTCTCCGCCGTTATCCAACAGGAGAGGAACGCTGCATTGCCTGTAAACTCTGTGAAGCCGTGAGACCTACAGACCTTTATATTCTCTCTTCTAATGATCTGTTATCTTCCATGATATTTTATTTTCCTTAGGGTGCTATTTCGTACATGTCCTGCTGCATATTTAAATATGGAGTTCTGGACCTTGTCATATTAGAGGGATGAATCTAGGGAGTGCATTCTCTATCATTTGACAGTTACCTGTAATATAATTACTCGAAAAATATAAATGTCTTGTAGGGTTGTATGGATTATAGGTTTAAGTGCTATAATGCCTTCCCATCATACACCCTAGCCCGAAAATTATAAAAATTGATGTAGATGAAGTTTGAATATTGAGACACAGGTGGAATGTTTATGCTAATCTAGGCTTCTTGATTATTCATATGATAAAGATGAGTCGTGAAAGATGGGCAGAGACTGTTGAATGTCTACAGTGAGAAAAGGCTCTCAGCTGTCTCGTTTTTGTTTCCATAAGAATGTAAGATGTACTAGAATCTAATTAGTTTGAAAACATTATCTAATTTGTGTTTTTCAGTTTGTATTGGAAGTTCACGCATTAGATGCAAAACCTTTGTATTATGGTCTAATTGATCTATGATCTGCTTAGTAGCTTTGCCAATCATGAGCTGTTGGCTCTTTGATAGTTAAGGTGTGGTGAAAATTTTAAATTTCTGTTTAATATTAGGTCTGCCCTGCTCAAGCAATAACCATTGAGGCAGAAGCTAGGGAAGATGGAAGCCGTAGGACAACCAGGTAAATACCATTTACTTATTTTGAAAATTTTATGTACTCATATAGTCATATGCCATACTTGGTTGTTGAAGTGTCTCACTGGTGATGTATTCATTGAAGGTATGATATTGACATGACAAAGTGCATCTACTGTGGATTTTGCCAAGAGGCTTGCCCTGTTGATGCCATTGTTGAAGGACCAAACTTTGAATTTGCAACAGAAACTCACGAGGTTAGTAAATTTCTCCCAGTTGTCTACAACAGCTTGGCTTAAATGAAAGAAGTATTTAGTTATGGACAATAAACCAAAATTTCCCCCTCTTTTCTTTTCTCTTATTGTTATGTTTAAAAACTATATCTGAAGCATCTGTTCATCAAATTGTTGCAGGAGCTTCTGTATGACAAGGAGAAACTGCTGGAAAATGGTGATCGATGGGAAACTGAGATCTCAGAGAATTTGAGATCAGAAAGTTTGTATCGCTGATCTCAGTTGCTTCGATGAGGCTATGATATTTTCCTTTTTTGTGGCTTCTGAATCAAAACCAATAAAATTTCTCTGTTTGGAGTTTCAGAGATCATTTTGTTGTTAATTGCCCTTGTAAAACATTGTTAAATTGCAATCTTGTAGATTTTGGTATATGTTAAGCCTTTACTCCATTAGTTTTGGCTGCTAAATAACTCAACTTATATGCCATGGCGCCCAAGGCCATAATTTTGTTTCCTGCAGGGAAAACACATTGGGCCTATATATTTTTTGTAATGGAAGTCGGTTTTTTATAAGCAAACTTTTCATTTTGGCATCCTTAGACATGACCAAATTCTACTAGGCTGGGAATAGGTTGGGCTGGCAAGTACTAAGTTTGGTATGACACTGACATGTTAATTGGTTGTGGGCTTGCATGGACAAAATCAGTAGGAGGATGTTTTTTTTTTTGGAAGAACCAACACCGAAAAACAACGCATCACACACATGACAACCGCTGCATTAATTCTCAGGGGCGAACTTGTTGGACTCACCGAAAAACAACACATCACACACACGACAACAGCTGCATTAAGTAACAAAACCCCAAGAAGGACCTATGTAAGCATGCTTCTCAGGGGCAAACTTGTTGGACTCTAGATAAAAAAAACGAAGCTGGACGTCGCTTTGTGCCTACATGATCCATCTTGTAACCTACAAAACCCATTCGCAGTGCATCTTACCTATGCTCGAAGACTAGAATGAGAAATAGCCCGTTGGTGATTCACACGAGACGAAATCCTAAGCCTTGAGTTTTGAAAACCATTCATTCTCAACCTAAATCTTTAAAGGGGTAGAACAAAGGCCATTGGCATTGGCCCTACTCCAATTGGCATGACAGAAGATTGGGGGGTTGGGTTGTGAAATCGTGAATACTTATTTAATTTAATTATTTTTGGTAAAAAGATGCATTAGGAAACTCTCTTCCCAAAGATAATCAGGAGTTGAGGCGCAAATGGATCCTATATTATTGTACAATTGACCTATAGATTTGTTTCATGAACTTAGAACTCTTTACTTCAAAATTTAACACCATTTACATTTATCTAAACCGAGTATTTAATAATAACATAAATTAATTCTCCAACTAAATATCAATGTATAACTCTATGTGTACTTAGACTCTTAGAAATGTCAATTTGGGTGTTTGGGTCGGGTTCGATAAGCCTGGATTAGATTGGATTTATTTCAAACTTGAATCAAATTAGTATCATAGTTAAAACCTGAATTGAATATTATTTAGATCGGTTTGGGATCAGGCCAAGTCGAAAACAAGGCGAAGTTACAGTTTGGAATTTTGGTCTATAAACAGAAGGCTACATTGGCAAAATGATAAGTAGAGTGAACTAAACCCATGGCTCCGCCACTTTATCCAAAATGAAAAAACCATCATGTTTTGCCACACCACCACTTCCACCACCTTCCTCCACCTCTCAACCCACCATAACCACCACCACCAATTTTCTCCTTTCATCACCAATTTTTCTCTCTCCTCTCAAAATCCTCAACCTTCCGACCCCCCAAAACCCCCAATCTTAAACCCTAACACCCAACAAATTCTTCGGACCCACAACTCCAAATCCACCTCCTTCTTCCTCCTTAACCACCACCAACAACAATGGCTTCCAAACCACGAGAAAAACGACGACGTTTTGTTATCAGAAGAAGAGAAAGCAAGAATTCTGGAATTGACCCTTGTTAGAAAACGCCCACCTCAATTTCCGGGTTCAATTTATACCCGCCCACCTCATGGAAATGACCTCTCTCTCCCTCCTTTGAATACCCTTTTGAAGGGAGATGATGATGGTGAAGAAGGTGAGATGTTGATGAAGGCTATTAAGATAAGGAGGGAAGTTTGTTTGGAAATTTTTATTGAATTTATGGTTAGAAAGGGTAAATTTGGTATTACATATTCTAAGAATATGGGGTCTAATTTGGGTGATTTTATTGATTTGGTGATGATTGAGGCTGCTGCTTTGAAGAAAGTTCCTGAATTTTCAAGTTTTTCGTTTAATGCTCGAGCTCAAAAATTTATTGAGGAGTCTAATGTTGTTCCTCTTATTAGGTGAGCTGAATTTCTCACTCTTTTTTGGATTTTGGTTATGTTTTTCTTGTGAATTATGTAACTGTATGTTTATGATCGTAATTCGTATATGTATGGATTTAATGTTTGTTACTTCGTACTTATTTAAATTGCTTATTTTGGCGCAAAGAGAGGTGCTAAGGCAATAATGTAGATGAGATTTGATTTCGAGTAACACTCTTATAACTTTACCATATTTCCCTGTTATTTGAGTGAGTATGTTGATGGGTTTCATGATTATTTGCAATATTGATTTTTATAATGCTTATGTATGATTTGATAGTTGAGATGATGCTTTTCTACATAGTTGGTTTTTAGTTCCTTTCATAGGTTAGCAAATTCTTTGAATATGTTTCTGGAAAAATCATATGTTGCATAGGTATATTCCAGAAGGGTGATAGATTGCACTAGCCACATAACTACATTGGTTTGATTTGCTAAGTCGTATTGAAAAGTTAGTTGGCATACGAAAGGTTCCAAAGAATTTGTAGTTGATAAAAGCTACTTAGCTGGTTTAGCTATTGTTTTGAGGAGGTTGATCCGTTGATGTGAGAGAAATCACATGTTTCTTTGATTATATTGTAGGTGGTTGAAACACAATTCGTTGTCACACCCTCAGATTGGTAGAATCATATGCATGTCAAAGGGGGATGTCCAATTAATAAGAAGGCATGTAGAGTGGCTGAAGTCAATTCATGTGAATGGAAGATACATAGGAGTTGTGTTCACTAGAGTTGGAGAGACCATTTTGAGGCGTAGCATAGAAGAAATGGATGAGATTGTTGTGTATCTAAAGAACAAAGGTGTGAGGAGGGAATGGATGGGTTATGTCATCAGCCGATGCCCTGAATTAGTGGCTTTTAGCATGGAAGAAGTGAAAATTCGTGTGAGGTTTTACACAGACATGGGCATGAACAACCATGATTTTGGTACGATGGTTTATGATTTCCCCAAAGCCCTTGGATATTTTGCTTTAGAAGAGATGAAGCAAAAGGTATAATGACTACGCATTTCTTTTTGTTTATTCGAAACTGACAATGAGAGCCATATTAGACCCATTAGATAATAGGAGTAATTATTAATAGCCAAATGATGGAAGAACAGTGCTCAAAGATTAATAAATATTGTCACCATGTATCTATTTTCAATGGATCATAATATTCATGTATTAAGGTGATTGAGACTTTTGGTTTTAGGTAAACTATTTGAAAGAATTTGGGCTATGCGATAATGATGTTGGAAGATTACTGGCATTTAAACCTCAGTTGATGGCATGTAGCATTGAGGAAAGATGGAAACCTCTTCTCAAGTTTCTTTATTATCTTGGAGTTGATCGAGATGGCATGAGAAGAATGCTCGTCATCAAACCAATGGTGTTCTGTTTTGACATGGAAGCTACTATTGTTCCAAAGGTAGTGTATTTATTTTCCTCCTTCCCAAAATAAGTGAACATGCCATCTACGAATTGTATCGGATTAGTTCTACTGTAAAAGTATTTTTTTAGTTGTATACTATTCTATAGTACAGTATTTGAATGCACCTGCTGTCTTCTAGCTTCCTTGACAGGTGTCTTGATATATTTTGTAGGTACGGTTTCTGCAAGACTTAGGTATCACAGATGATGCCATCGGTCGCATGCTTGTTAAGTTTCCTCCGTTGCTGACATACAGCCTTTACAAGAAAATTCGGCCAGTGGTTAGTTCTCTCTTACATTTGTTGATGATGTTATACTTCCATCTTCCTGTGATATGGGTATATGACTATATGGAATTTATTGTTCTTGAACCCGGACTGTTTAGGAGTTGTATCTCTAGAGTCTAGAGATAGAATACAGATTGGAGCTTTTCCTCTGTGCTGCTTAAACAAGAAAAAAAATTCTATGCTGGAATAAAATGCTGTTTAATTGCATTACTTGATAGTATCAATAAAGAAAAGACTGAGGAGTTGGTCCTGCTATTAGACTTTTCGGCTCAGTTACATATTGAATAATACTCGTAATTTTGGTTGTGCTTTCTTCCTTTCTATTTCCCTCTCCTTTGATCTGGGGCTAGATGATTGTGAAATTGAGTTTTACTCTTGAAGTTCAAAATTGTTTACTACGAGCTATGGAAAGTGTTGAAAATTGCTCCCATCAGTCCATCACGATAATGTACCTTGAATCTCAACTTAGTATTAGCTTCTCGTGATTTATTGTGACTCTAAATGTTGATCTATTGGCATTGAATGGCCAAATGTCTATCTTACGTATGGCTAAGTCATGATTCACTGCCAGGTTGTGTTCCTACTTACCAGAGCTGGAGTCACACAGAAAAATATAGCAAAGGTGGTGGCTTTGGCACCAGAGCTATTGGGGTGCAGCATTGCGCATAAGCTGGATGGCAACGTAAAGTATTATCTGTCGCTTGGGATTAGTCTTCGACTGTTAGGTGAAATGATTGCTGATTTCCCAATGCTCTTGCGATACAATGTTGAACTTCTTCGACCCAAGTATCGCTACCTGCGAAGAACAATGATCCGTCCTGTAAAGGATCTCATCGAATTTCCTAGGTAAATTCTTAATTATAGCACTATATGACGTACAATACTTATGAAATCCTTAATTTTAATATAAAGTAAACAAATTCACCAGATTTAGATGGACAAATGTTAGTTTCGCTTGCTTGCTCCTATTACTCCGTAGAAGGAACTCTTTGTTTATAACAGTTATAAACAAAATTTGTCATCATTCTGTTAAAATCTTCTCCTAACTCTCTTAAACATCCCCAGTCAAAGACAAAACTGGCAAAAAATGGTTATAAATTGAGCAAATGCTCCATTATTTTGACTAATTCTGGTGGTTGTTATCATTCAGGTTTTTCAGTTATTCTCTAGAAGACAGAATCATACCAAGGCACAAGGTTATGCTAGAGAATCAGGTGAACTTCAAACTCCGGTATATGTTAGCAAGCAGTGACGAGGAATTTAAGCAACGAGTCAAGGCTGCAGTTGAAAAGCGGCAGAGATTTGAATCAGGCGCTTCTTCACTTCATGAAGAAGCTGCAGATTCTGAAACTGAGGATTATTCTTCTGTTAGTGTACTTGATTCTAGCTCATTCCGGAGTAATGATTCTAATGTTGTGCTGTTTGATTCAGGTTGACTAGCCCATGGTCCCAACCCATTGTATACAAACTTCTCAATA